CGGACTGTCCTCCTCTTTCACCATGTTCCAGGCAAAAAGAGGAGTTCCTTGGAGGCAGAGGAGCCCGCCTGAGGGTGAGCAGGTGGCCCCGCTCTCCACGAGAGGCAGAGAGAGGCTGCCAGAGGAAAGCCGGCTCTGCACAGGACCGGCGCCCCACACACGCTGAGGAGCCCGCGACACCGGCAGTGCCTACTGCATGCGGATGGGGCCTCGTGGGGGTTCCTGGGGCGTTTCCATAAACGTCAGATCAGTTGTCAAGGGCAGACACTACTCTGGCCTACAGGGCTCTCACACGGTTCATTCCTACTCAGTTTGAGAATTGTTCGCATTTTCATTACGCCATATATGCCCAGAGTGCCCAAGAGGAGCAGACTGCAGCCTCAGCGTCCAGGGGTGCAGGTGGGGGGCGGGGAGCGCATCTCCTCCCGGACCCAGGATTCTTTCAGTCCGTCAAACGCACTCCCACCCAACTTTGTCGTTCTTCCTCTTGCTTGACTCCTCTAAGAAGCTGGAGTTGTTGGCAAGGCTCGTGGGAATAAAACTGGACAAATGTCTTTCCCTGCACCTTTCTTAAAAAACGAAGCCCACGCTTTCATCACCCCGGACCTCTGAGTTCACAAGGCTTGCACCGCGAAGGGCAGGAACGGCTGAGGCCTCTGTCACCTAGGAGCCCGAGCCAGGTGGAGTCTGAGTTTCTCTAAAGGGACGCCACACTCACCCAGCACCCCCGCCTGCCTGTCGCCTGTCCTGCTGGTCAGGACGCGGGCCTCAAGGTGATCCCGGGGCTTTTCTCGGGTCTCTCAGCATCTGTGAGGTTTGCTGGGCTCCGTGCTGTCTGTAGGCCTCCGGGACCGTGGGAGTGTCACAAACTGCTCGCTCAGCCTGCAACCACGCGCCGTGTCCCTCTGTAGAAAGCTGACACCAGAGCCCCAAGGCTGGCCACAGAGTGAGTGTTTGGTGTTGAGAAAGCAACTCCCAGACCCAGCGGGGATGGCTCTGTGGGACCAGCATGGGGGTTTCATGTCTGCTTCCTACGTGCAGCCTTCGCCTGGCCTGTGTTGAGGACTGTGTCCTCAGAACTGGGCAGGAGCAAGGGGACAGTGGCTACGGGCTGGCCACCCTGGGCAGGCTCGGGGAATGGGCTGCCCTGGGATTGGCTGCAATCCTGTCCCATGTATTGCCAAATTTTATTTGTGCCCAAATCTTTATTATTTTGTTGCCGTACACTCTGCTTCTTTTCCAGCAGCTCATGGACTTGTTCCTTTGTTAGGTGTGCAGCTTGTAAAAATACAAATTGTTTGTCCTTAGTTCATTTGTCAGCGTTCGTCAGGCCTTCTTCTGATAAAGAGTTGTATCTGATTAAAAAGGATTGGTATGTGCATTCTGACCACTGGTTCTTTATGGCGAAGGTGCCGCCAAATTCAAACATTTTGTTCTCCCAAAAGAGGATCAGTTGGTTCCTGAGAGCACCCGGCAACATGTGACACTTTTTCTGAATCAAAACAAATTTGATACATTTTGAAAGTCTTTTGTCAACTGGTTAAGAAATGCTACAACTAGTCCCCTAACCTCCCCTTCTCATTTTCAAAGAGAAAATTGTGCCTAATCGTTGGAGGCTACCATCTGAACCGACAAAATTAAAAATTTATGATTTTTAATTTTGAAAATGATGTTGGATAAAAGCAAAAGAGGTAAGGAAATGTCAGGGGGTCAGCACGAGATGATCGATGTCAGACGCCCCCTGTTTAAAATTCCAGTGCTGGCAGATCATGCGCCCTGACAGGGAAGAGGGGTCTGGGTCGGGCCAAGGAAGCAAAAGCAAAAGAGAGCAGCTCGGCCGCAGGCTGCACCCGGCAGCAGCACCAGGTTTTCATTAAAAACAAGTGCTGGCTTAGGCAAGGATGTGGTGCGGTGTGGCGCTGGCCCGGCTTCCAAGCAAACGCCTGCAGTTCCAGCTCCCAGGAGGGGCTGCACCATCCGGGGAGATGCGACCCCTCACGCTCAGCGTCTGCAGCGGAGGCTGGGGTGGCTTCAGCCTGCAGGCCACAGGCTCAGCGTGGCGCCCCAGCCCTGCCCTGCCCTGCCCTGCCCGGGACGGGCTAGCATCCTTGGAGACTGTCCCAGCAGGCGAGGCGTGTGCTGCTCTTCTGCACGGGGGCGCTCGGGTAGCTGGAGGCAGGCAGCAAGGTGCAGGGAGTGCAGTCGCAGCCCGGCCCCGTTCCCCAGCCCTGCTGGCCGCTGGCCATGCCACCACTGACACCCT